TGAAGTACTCTCACGTTCATTGGTACCCTGCTTCCATCCTCACTCCTACAGCCTGTTCTACACTCGGCAGCCAGAGGGATCCCGTTAAATCCTAAGACAAATCATATCCCTTCTCTGCTCACAAATCTCTTGTGGCTTCTCCCTCATTCAGAGTAGAAGTCCAAGTCCTCTCCATGTCCCTGCCACCTCTCTGACCCCACCTCCGCCTCATCACTCTCCTTGTTGATCACTCTGCTCAGTGTACTGGTATTCTCACTGCTCCTCACACATGCTAAGAACACTCCTGCCTCAGGACTTTTGCATTAGCTATTCCATTTTCCTAGATCTCTCTAACTTACTATTTCTGCATGGTTCACTCTCATGACCTTCAGGAAGCTCAAACATATTCTCACAAAAGCTTACCTGGACACCCTATTTATAATCCTAACATCTCTCTCCACCCCCCTTCCCAACTTATAATACTTCCTTGCTTTTCTTTAATCCTTAGACCTTACACCATATTTCATTTTATTAGCTCCCTTCAGGAATTTAACCTCTACATGGATATATATATATATATATATATATATATATATATATATATATATACTGAGTGGCCAGATTATTATGATCTCTGAATGCATAATAATCTGGCCACTCAGTGTGTATCCTATATAATAAAAGGCTAATATGCAAATTGTTCTCTCAACTAGGAGTTCGACCAGTAGGCAGGCCGGCCAACCCCCCATGTCCTCTCCCCCTGGCCAGACTAGCTGGACCCCACCCATGTACAAATTCATGCACTGGGCCTCTAATATATATCCACTGAGTGGCCAGATTATTATGCATTCAGAGATCATAATACTCTGGCCACTCAGTGTACATGGTGTATTTTGTTCTCTGCTGTGTCCTCACAGCACCTAGAACAGTGTCTGACATGCAGTAGGTGCTCAATAACTATTGAATAGGTTGATCAGTGGAGATGTGAATGAAGTGCTAGGATAAGCCCTGAGGTAAGGGGTAGAACAGGAATGGGTGAAGAGGCCCAAGGAACTGGCCCAGTGATCGCTCAGAGTTCCCTTTGGGGGGCTGATCACCTCTAGATCTCAGAGGGGTCAGAAAGACAGGCACAATCTGACCACACACCCTAGTGTTGCCCCAGAAATAGGTTTCTACTTGAGAGTGTGTGCACCCACTGGAAAGCAACAGTGGATGGTGCCTTCTGGTCACCTGCTCCGGCTTGAGACCAGGGGGCACCCAGGCATACTCCTCTGAGGCACAGCCCGAGTCATCATCGGAGATGGAGTGGCGCTGGAAGTCTGAGATTAGCCGACACATGATGCGTTCCAGGTCCACAGGCACTGCGTGCACGGCGTGCTCCTCCCGAGGGCACTTGCAGTGCTGGCAGATCTTTCTGAGGGGGCCAGGATGGGGGTCAATTACTAAGGGCAGCTCACTTGGACCCCTTGACAGCCCAAGAAAGTCCAACTGAGGGGCAGGGACACGCAGATGATCACCACCAAAGGACTCTGGGCCTGGGGGTGGGGCTGTGAGCCTGGGTGGAGGAGGTGAAGAGATGGAGCTGTGGGGTCTCAAGGCCAGCCCTGACTTTCAGCTCTGAGATTTGGGCCTGAGTAGGGCTGGGGTTCTGAGCCTGAGGTTGGAGTTATACATCTAGGGGCTTCCCCTCAGGAGAGGCTCTGGACATTTTGGGGGAACTTTCCCTGGAGGTGGGCTCTAGCCTGTATTGAGCCTCAGAACTTTCGGATAGGGCTCTCTGTTGTACATTATGGATTGTTTTAGGTATGGAGCTCCAGGAGATAGGGCACAGGGGTCTGGGAGAGGAGTTCCTAACTCGAGAAAGGGGCGTGGAGCACCACAGATCTCCCTAGGGATAGGACTCAGGTCTGAGGAAGGACACTGCTGGGGCTGGGCTGTGTCGTGGGTGGAGCTCTCCTGGGAACCAGACAATAGGGAATGAGTCAGGGGGCGGGGCTCTGAATCACAGCGTGAGGCTTTTTCCCTGACTGAGCTTCCTCTGTGGACCGCGGGCAAGCCAAGGGCGTGGCTTGAGTCTCAGGATTTCCCTCCTGAGGCAAAGCCCTGGGATGGTCACCTACCTCCAGCCATGCAGCAGAAAGCCAGGGCACTGCTCCCTGCAGGAGTTGCAGGGCTGGCCACGGTCTGGGTCCTCTGCCTCGGGAGGCTGTAGTGGGCGGGGGCAGACCCGGGACCCCGCGGGGCGGGGGGGGGGGGCAGGGAGGGAGAAGTTAGGACCCGCCTCTCCACTCCAAGTCTGGAGACCGCACGCTGGGGCCTGTCCTACCTGGGTAGCGCTGGGCAGGCTGGGACAGCACCCCGAGCTCCGGGGAGGGGTACACAACAGAGACAGAGGCGGGATAGCTGAGGCCACCTCCCTCTATGCCTCCTTTTCAGGGAATTCCCCTCCCCAGGCCAGCCTCCAGCTCCTCACATCCTGCCTGGACCCCTCCCGGCAGCCTCTGACTCCTGCAGGCCTTAAACACCTCCTCCAGAACTTAGAGTACTCGCCCCACTCAGGGCAGAGTCCCTAACCTGGGTGTCTACCCCAGGCTTCGTCTAGGCCCCTGCTCCACCCACAAGGCCAGCAGCACTCCCGTCCCATAGGGTAGAAGTCTGAGACATCATCCTTACCTGGGATCGCCACAGGAACCCCCCCCCCCCCAAAAAAAAAAAAAAAAAAAAAAACCACACACACACCCTGGTTTCACCCAAGGAACTGAGAGCCTCCTGCAATGGAACAGGAGGCTCCCGATCCATTCAGAACCCTTCAGGAAGCCTTACCCTTCCTATACTAGGGCTGTTCTCTCCTCTGGACCACGAAATCCAGGCCCCACCTAGAGGCCCCCCACAAAAGAAGAGAGAGACCCTCCTATCTAGCAAGTCAAAGGTTTTCTGCTCAAGTGGAAGCCTGGAAGGCTTACCCCAAACCCCAATCCCTGGACTCTCAGTATTCCGGCACCCCTAGAGTGCGGACCTCCCTCTTCAGGTCACCTTCCGCCAAGGCACAGGGCGAGGTTCCTTCCCTCAGAAGCTCAAAAGGTCCCTGCTCGATCAAGGAACCCAAGACCCAACCTTTTGGCCCCCAGAGACCCCTCCCATAATCCACACGAGAGGGAGACACACCAGGTCTCTGGGTGCTGCTGAAGGTGTGCGGAGAGGTGATGAGGGAGTGTGGGCCACCAGATTTCCATCTGCCTTCAGCCCCTCCGGTCTGGGAATTCTGGGGATGGGGATTCCCAAACCCTCCGTGGAGAGCCTCCTCGCTACCCCTCTCCCCTACCCCCTCTCCTGGGCCTCAGTTTACCCCTGACCCCCCCGCCGGTGCCCTGAGTCTCGCTCACCGCGCGCCCGGAGCGGCGCCTCCGGGACCCACGCGCGAACATGGCGCGCCCGAGCAGGGTCAGGACGGGCCGGGTCAGGCGACAGGAATTCTCGGCGGCGTCCGTCAGGCCACCGCGCGTCCTGCCTGGAAGCTGTTCCGTAAACCTGACACCGGCCAGGGGAGGAGCGCTCCCCGCAGCGCCCGCCCCTGGGCCTGCCGCCTCTCTCAGGCCCAGGCGCCCCCTGCCTAGAGGTGAAGGGCACGCATCCCGGGAACGCTGTGCAGGAGGGCTCCCCTGCCCTCGGCCACGCGCCCCAGAGACCCGAGGTGCCACGTGGCCCCCCACAGGATATTTTAGGGCTTGAAAGCTCTGTAGTGGAGGAGGGAGACTTGGCAGTGGCGATCTGTAAGGATGGGCGATAGGGGTTGTGTTTGGAGGAGGGGTGAAAGCCACCTCTTGGCGTCTTCCGCACTAGTGATGTTCCGAGGGACTCTTATACACCCCCCACAGCCCTGCTCTCTTCCCTTCAGAACCAAGATTATTTGAGATTTATGAGGAGGAGGTTAAAGTCACTGGCCAGGTTCCCATGCCCTCCCTCCCTCCCCCCATTCTTACAGGCCCAGCTGTCATGCCCCCTAAATCCTGAGGTCTAATAGCCTTTCCTCCCTGGCTCCCATTTTTCTCTCTCCAGTTAGAGATCCTTTTCCCTGAGCTCAGTCGCAGAGCTGGGCATCTCTCCTTCATGTTCTACAGCTTTGCTGTGTCTCGGGGCTGGGAGGAGGGGGTCGCCGGCCAGCAATCAGAACTTGGGTGCTGGGCTGGGCTGGGGTCTCTAATTAGGCCTGGCGGAGGCGGCTGTCAGCCCGGCCTTTCATCGCAGGCGCCAGGGATTTCCAGGCCCACCCCTCCCTATCCCGCCCATTCTGCCACTTCTGGCCTCTTCTGGCTCCAGGGAGGGGTTAAAGAGGATGAGTGAATGGCTCCCCGCTCCCTGTCTTGCAGCCTACCTGGTCTCTCGGTTTTCCAGCTGCGGGGTAGGGGAGGCAAGGAAATGTAGAGACAGCAGGTTCTGAAAAATTCCAGGATTGGAGTAGAGGGAAGTCTCCCTATGAAGTATGGGCTTCTATTGGAGCCTCTTGAGGATTTGAGAACAAGGTGGGGAAGGCAGGTGGCTAAGGGACCGGAGTTAGAACTGAGCCCTTGAAAGACAACTTTCCGTGGCCAGTAGTAGGGCATTGCACAGGGCCACTCCGAGGATGGCCTAGAATGATGTGCAGGCGAGGCATCCCTAGGCCAGATGCTGTTAGGGGGGCCTAAAATGATGAGGTGACTTGAACCTCATCCAGCAGGTCAGTAGTGGTGAAGCTTCCTCTCACCTCCTTTTCATCTCTTCCTTTGTGTCCTCCTATAAGATACACTGAGGCCCGGTGGGCGTGGCTGAGCATTGTCCCATGTACCAGGAGGTGGCATGTTTGATTCCTAATCAGCATATGCCTGGGTTGTGGACTCAATCCCCAGTGGAAGCTAATCAAGGTTCCTCTCTCTTCAATGTTTCTGTCTCCCCCTTTCCCTTCCTCTCCCTAAACTCAAAACATCATATAAAAAAAAAAAAAAAAAAAAAAAAAAAAAGACACACTGAGAAGTCTGAGCCAGGAGTACTAGGTGTTTGAGGAGTTTATTTAGGGGAAGATAATGAATCATATGTGTTCTTCCTCTGGGAGGGAGTCTTCAAACAATACCGAAGGGCAAGGGAAAAGGGGGGGGGGTCTGAAGGGGAAGGAGAAGGGCCACAGCCAGACAAAATGGCAACACACTGTCACAGGCACTACCGACATCACAGACACAGCAGAAGGTGTAGGATAGGGGCTCCAGACCGGATCTCCAACCATCCCAGGACAGGTGGGGTGTGGAGGGAGGGAGGAGGTAGGAGAAAAGGGGAGAAGGGTAGGCTGGCCCCACAGGCCATTAGCTCTGTCCTCTGATTATCTAACTCTGCCATCGTGGGGGTGGGCAAGGAAGGGTATGTGTGGGTGCCTTTCTCTGGATCCCCGCTTACCATTCAAGCCATACCTCTCAGCTCTCCCTAGGCCCCCTCAGGCCTAGCCTTAGTGAGGGATATTGCCCCCCAACCCTAACAAAACACATCCCTTAGGCCCTAGCCACTACCAAACCTGCCCAACTTTGAAACATATATTCTTTACTGTTCCATTGCGGGGTGATGGGGCAGGCTGTACCCTCTGAAACCATCACGCATGCCCCATTCTAAGGCCCACCCTATCTAGAACCCTGGCCACGCCCCTCACCCCAAGGGTGGCCCATTACTGAATCACCCTGTCAGCCTTCCTGCTTTAGAGTCAAACTCAATCTCCTGAATGTTCCAAGCCACACTCCTTGCGTAGACTCTTGTCCCAATCTAAGCCACACCCCCTCTAGAACTCTCAGCATTCTTCCAAACCCTGTCCCCAGGCCCCCAAGTCACACCCCTTCCATAGAACCAAGTCGTACTACAAGCCCTGACCACACAGAAGGCCCACCCACTGCTTCACTCAAAGCTGTGATCTTTGTAGAAACTCACCCTCAGCCTCCTTCCAAGCTCCTTTACAAAATGCTCTAGGGCACCCTTCTCCTTTGGACTTCACTTCTAGTATGTCTGGAACCCAACCTCCCTGCTTACTAGTCCCCTCCATCCCAGAGCTCTCCACAACCACCTTGAGTCCCAAGCCCTCCAATATCTGCCTTCTCCCCCAAATCAGGGTTGAATTTTCTGTATTGGCCATTGTTCAAACATTGCTGGAGAAATCAAGGCCAGAGTTGGGAGGAGGTGAGGGAGAGAAGGGAGAGACTCTAAAGTCAAGCCCACCCTACCCACACAGCCAAGGTCTGTCTCTTCCCTGTCCCTCTTTCAGAATCCTTGTCAACCTCAGGGCACAGGGCCAGTGAACGGAGAGGGGCCAAGAGATGCAAGGAAAGGGCTAAGGATAAGAGAGGGGCCCACTAAAGATTGGGGCCCTAATGTATAAGGGGAGCAGAGTGGGGGCAGAGCTCAGACAGACCAATAGATATCTATATGTGTCATATATATATATATATATATATATATATATATATATATATATATATGCAAGGAAAGTTAAGGGTCTCCTAGCTTGAGGGGCGGAGACCTGGGATGTAGGGATGAGCAGGGAGGGCAGGCCTTCTCCTGAGCTCTTGCCAACCCATGGGGTCCTCCTGGGCTGCACTGACCTGTGGAGACAAAAGACACAGAAAGGAGAAGGGGTCCAGACATAGGTGGTGCCCTTCAGGAGGGGCTGGGCTGGTATGCCTTCACCCTGGCTTTACCATCTGTCTGACATGCCTTTTCTTCCTTTTTCTTTCACTCAGAGTCCTGCAGTCAGTTTCATCCTGCTGCTCCTACTGGGAAGGTATATTTTTCCCTACTAGGTAAGGTACCAAAGAAATTGTGATTCTCATTCCCCTAACCCAAAGATGTTCATTAATGGGAACTGTTATAATCTATATTGGTTATAATCTATATTGAACCCAACCAAGATTCTCATCTTTGTGGAACTTACATTGTAGCAGGGGAGACAGACTTCAAACAATAAACATCCTAAATAATAAAAGGCTAATATGCAAATAGACCGAAATGCATAACGACTGGTCGCTATGATGCGCACTGCCAACCAGGGGGCAGACACTCAACACAGGAGCTGCCCCCTGGTGGTCAGTGCGCTCCCACAGGGGTGTGCCACTCAGCCAGAAGCTGGGTTCATGGCTGGTGAGTGCAGCGACGGTGGTGGGAGCCTCTCCTGCCTCCACAGCAGCGCTAAGGATGTCCAACTGCCAGCTTAGGCCTGGTCCCATGGGGCCTAGGCCATCAGTTGGACATCCCCTGAGGGCTCTGGGACTGCGAGAGGGTGCAGGCTGGACTGAGGGGACCCCCCCCCCCCAAGTGCACAAATTTTGTGCATCAGGCCTCTGGTAATGTATAAAGTTATCTAGTATAGCCCTAGCTGGTTTGGCTCAGTGAATAGGGTGTCAACCTATGGACTGAAGGGTCCTGGGTTTGATTCCAATCAATGCCACATGCCTAGGTTTCAGGCTTGATCCCCAGTAGGGGCATACAGGAAGCAGCTGATCAATGATTCTCTTTCATCATTGATGTTTCTAACTCTCTCTCCCTCTCCCTTCCTCTCTGAAATCAATAAAAATACATTTAAAATAAAATAGTTATCTGAGCACATGAGGAAGGTGGCCTGACTTAAGATTGAATGGGATCTCTTCCAATGCTGTGAATAGAACAGAATGGGAATGGGGGTGGATAGGTAAGATGTCTGGGGGAGATGACAGTCAGTAGTGGGAAGATTATAAATTATATTTTGAAGGTAGAGCCAACAAGATTTTTTGATGAATTAGATGTGGGATGCATAAGAAACTGCTTCCTGCCCTTTCCATTCTGGCCAAGTGCCAGAAGCTACCTCCATCCACGTGTTGCCACCTCCTTGACTTTCCCCTCTCATCACACCCACCCTGCCTCTTCTCTCCTTCTTCCCACTTCATGTATGCGGGAAATCTCACTTTTCTTTTCAGATCGGGCAAGAAGGCCAGCAAACCTTCTTCAATGACCCCACTCCACCCCCTTTTTTTTCTTTTTTGAAATTCCACACCACCTCCCCCACCTGAAGAGTTGGGGAGAGGTGGCAGAATGAATCACCTCCTTCCATCATGATTCCAGCCAGTTTACTCTCATCATTTTTGGCCTTATCAATAATTTCTATGACCAATTCCTTTTCTCTGATTGGTTCCTATGCTCCGCTAATTCTCCACTACGCTAGTCCCTCTGCTATTCCCTACTTTCTTTGGTTGCTCTGCCTGTTTCTCTGTCCCCTCCCTTCCCTCGGAGCTTCACTTCTACCTCTCCCATTGGCTCTTCATTCTTCCCATCTTCAAGCATCACTCTCCTCCTTTCCATTCATTGGATAGGTTTTCTCTCTTCGCTTGTAAGTCCCACCCTCATTAGTCTGGCCTGCGTCTCACGTACCATTTACTACGGACTCTTATTGGTTCACTGACCCGCCCATCTCCTTTCAGGTACCCCCCCTTGGTCGCCCCGCCCGCCCGTCACTCACCAGACTACATCTGATTGGAGAAGGAGGTGGGCGCACCCTGAGGGTAGCCTTGCTGCCCGTAGTCGCCCTGAGGCCCATAGCCACCAACGGTGCCTCCAGCGGGCTGCCCGTAGTCGGGCTGGTAGCCGCCCTGAGGCCCGTAAGTATCCTGGGGCCCGTACCCGCCAGGGCCCTGCCCATAGCCGGCCTCGCCATAGGCGTCCCCGGGCGCCGGTTGCTTCTCGGGGGCACCAGGAGGTGCGCGTAGGAATGGGGCGGACCAGCCAGTCTCCTTGAACACAAACCACAGGTTGCCGAACCAGAGCACCAGGTTCAGGAAGCCGAACACCTGCGGAGAGATAAAGCCAGGTTGTCGTCACACTCCCGTTGCCTCAGAGGCCCCAGATAACTTCGAGGCAGTGCGCTTCAGGCATGGATCCTCGGGCTTCTGAAGGATGGTGGTTTCAGAAACCCAGACCACCGACTCCCAGCCCATGAACGTCAACGTGCAGAAAAACCACCTTGGGGGTGGGGAGAGTAGGGTGTGTTAGAATTCAGATTCCTGGGCCCGCCAGCATGGCTCAGTGGTTGGGCATCGACCTATGAACCAGGAGGTCATGGTTCAATTCCCAGTCAGGGCATATGCCCGGTTACGGGGCTGAATCCCCAGTGGGGGTGTGTGCAGGAGGCAGCCAATCAATGAGTCTCTCTCATTGATGTTTCTCTCTCTCTCTCTCTCTCTCTCTCTCTCTCTCTCTCTCTCTCTCTCCCTTCCTCTCTGCAATCAATAAAAATATATTTAAAAAAGAATTCAGCGAAACTGGTTTGGCTCAGTGGTAGAGCGTCGGTCTGCGGACTGAAGGGTCCCGGGTTCGATTCCGTTCAGGGGCATGTACGTTGGTTGCGGGCACATCCCCGGTAGGGGGTGTGCAAGAGGCAGCTAGTCAATGTTTCTCTCTCATCGACGTTTCTAGCTCTCTATCTCTCTCCCTTCCTCTCTGTAAAAAAAAAAAAAGAATTCAGATTCCTGGGGTGTTGGGAATCTAGTAATATTGCATACATTTGTTTATATATTTGTACATTTACCTGTTACATATGCATGTTTATCTATAATAACCTATAATAATAAAAGCATAATATGCTAATTAGACTGGCCGATCTTCTGGACGAAGCCAGGGCTGTGACAGAAGCCCTGTCTGGGTGCCAGCAGCTGAGGGAAGGAAGGCCTATTTTTGCACGAATTTTGGTGCATCAGGCCTCTAGTATATGTATAAAATATAGTAAGATCTAAATTTGTGATATATAAAATATTAAGCATAAACTTCAATCAAATATGTAAATGTACCACTAATAGATGAGTAAGTGCTCATATATATGTATACACAAATATATGTATAACTACACATCTATAAAGTATGTAAACATATTTTTATATTAAAACAAATACATGTTGCCCAGCCAGCATGGCTCAGTGGTTGAGCGTGGACCTAGGAACCAGGAGGTCATGGTTGGATTCCTTGTCAGGGCATATGCTCAGGTTGCAGGCTCAACCCCTAGTGTGGGACGTGTAGGAGGCAGCCAATGATTCTCTCTCATCATTGATGTCTCTCTCTCTCCCTCTGCCTTCCTCTCTGAAATCAATAAATACATTTTTTTTTTTTTTAAGAAAAAAGGTTCCAAAGGGAACGGAGTTGCTGGAGATTTTACATAACGAGGCTGGGGCTGAGATCCAGGTCTCCCAAACTTGTACAGAAGATCTCATGTTCCCCTCTTGAGGACAGTTTGTGGTGTCACCATAGTTACAATTGCTATCTAATACTTCAAGGCTCTGTTGTCCGTATGCCTTCTCTGGGTTTCTGAATTCTCTTATTCTCTCTCTCCACCACATCCCATGCCAGACTATAAGTGACCTAGCCTCCCTCCCCAGCCAGCTTAGCCAGCTTCCCGGGGCTCACCACGGAGGTGTTGAGGCCAGAGGTCACAGGGTCTCTTATCTCCTTGCATGTATTCTCCTTCTGGTGGCAGCTAGGTATCCCCTTGATAATGGTTTCCGGGTCCGTGGCCATCTTCACGTCTGACAGCCCCTTGGCCCATGCCGATGAGCAAACCAGCCACATGAAGGCAAACACCGCCGTGGCCAGGAAGTCCTAGGATGGGCAGGGGAGAGGAAGAGGACACTGGTAAGTGGGCTGCTTCATGCTGGGTTGTGGGGCCTCCTCAGATCACAGGCTTTCTTGGGAGAGGGGGTCCCCCCGAAGAGGTCTTCTCCTCTGCCTTTCCCCCAGCACTCACCTGAAGGTGGCCCTCCTAGCTTGGGCGTGTGGGTGGC